ATATCCATCAGTATATCAATCATGAAATTATTAAAAAACGGATGTTTGTTTTGACAGGTGATATAAAAAAACAGTAACGTAAATCGTACTGTCATCTCGATCTTAAAATCTCACCACACCCTGTTGTCAGTCTGCAACCATACTACCTCATTCCCCACCAGTCAAAAATTTCTTCTGGTCGAAGTCTTCGCCTTAATTACTTCAGAAATATCTTCGCCGCCACCGCGGCCAACTCCGCCTACGTAGGCGTGCTACGTTTAAGGTCATCTCACCACAGATTTCGACACCGATATCCGCCCCAATATGCATTGCAATAGCAGGAAAAGGTGATGTAAAACTACTGTCCACAGTATCCACTTTCTACATTGATACATTCATCCGACTTTGGATCCGCTTAGCATTCCCGTAAGTATGACATTTTCCATCTCTGTTCCTTCTAACACATCCGCTATTTTCGTCATTGCCAAAAGTTGCCAATCCTTTCTGCTACTACTCCTCGTTTTTGCCGGTTCTCTCTCAGCGTCACACAGTGGTCCAGGGCAAAAAAGAAGCGGTAGGAAATTAAAAAAAATTAACATAGTGTTTTGAGGAACTGCTTTCAACGTGTTTTTTTGTATTTTTTCAATCATCATAAGAAGGATTTAATAAGAATATAAATAAGATTCTAAATTCAAAACGAAGAATGACCGACTAAACTGTGTTAATTTTAAAGGTAAAACAAATGGAACATTTATGTCATATTGAAATATTGTCATAATTATTGTCAATCTTGCAATTTTTATTTTTGTATTCATTGTTTCCCCCCATATCGAACGCAAACTAATGTCTTTCACAAACTTAAAAAATGACCTCTCAAACACTATTTTGTTGTTAGTTTCCAAGCGAAATGAATTTCTATACTATGTTTAGTTACACTAAATGATATCACATCTCTCTTACACTAACATTAGGGGGATCTAACGACACTACCACAACAAAATATCGTAAGAAAACTGGTTATATGATCATTTTTACAATTTTGAAAATGGTGCACAAATTGTCCTGAATGAATTTCCTATATTCTCATATAGGATTTACTATGTTAAAAAATAATATATAATTTAAATTCAACTTTTCAATAACATAAAATAAATAATAAAGAGAACACATTTGAATTCAGCATTCCTGAAAACTAATATATCAACCGATTTCAAATAATAAGAGTTTAAACTTTTTAATATTTGCGGCAGGGAGAGTTAATTCGTAACCACTGGGCGCCTCCCTTTCTGAACCCGCCCTCAACGCCGCACGTTTTCACGTAATTGCTGAGTTTGCATAAAAAGCGCTTGGATCGCAGACCTCGCTCTTACTCCCGAAGGAAACTTCGCAAATCTCACGGTATTTTTATTGGTGGCAGTGGTAATGGCGGCGGCAGTGGCGGTAGTGACGACGGTGGTGAAGAGGCGACGGTGGTGAAGTGGCGGTGGCGAGGGCGGTGGCGAGGGCGGTGGCGAGGGCGGTGGCGAGGGCGGTGGCGAGGCGCGGTGGGAGGCGGTGGGAGGGCGTGGCGAGGGCGGTGGCGAGGCGCGGTGGGCGAGGGGGTGGCGAGGGCGGTTGGGAGGGCGGTGCGGGGGGTGTGGAGGGGGTGGCGAGGGCGGTGGCGAGGGCGGCGGGAGGGGGGCGGAGAGGGCGGCGGGAGGGGCGGCGGGAGGGCGGCGGCGAGGGGCGGCGAGGGCGGCGGGGAGGGCGGCGGGAGGCGCGGAGGGCGGGGCGAGGGCTGGTGCGTAGGTGGTGGCGATTGTGTGGGTGTGAGGGTGTTGGGAGGGCGGTGGGAGGGCGGTGGCGAGGGCGGGGCGAGGGGGCGGCGAGGGCGGCGGCGAGGGCGGCGCGAGGGCGGCGGCGAGGGCGGCGGCGAGGGCGGGGCGAGGGGTGAGGAGGCGGTGGGAGGGCGGTGGCGAGGGCGGTGGGAGGAGGATGGGTGGCAGGGCGGTGGGAGGGCGGTGGCGAGGGCGGTGGTGAGTGGTTGGTGGTGTTTCGTGCGTGGGCGTGAGTGTGATTGGGTGGGGGGCGAGGCGGGGGCGGGTGCGGGGGCGGAGGCGGGGGGGGGGGAGGTTGGGGCGGGGGCCGGGGGGGGGGGAGGTGGGGCGGAGGGGGGGCGGGGGGAGGCGGGGGGCTGGAGGTGGGGCGGGGGCGGAGGGGGCGGGGCGAGGCGGAGGCGGTGGCGGGGGAGAGCGGGCGGGGGGAGGGCGGGGCGGGGGCGGAGGCGGGGGGAGCGGGGGCGGGGGCGGGGGGAGGCGGGGCGGAGGGGGGCGGGTAAAGTGGCGGTGGTGAAGTGGGGGTGGTAAAGTGGCGGTGTAAGTGGCGGTGGTAGTGGCGGTGGTAAAGTGGCGGTGGTCAAAGTGGTCGGTGGTAAAGTGGGGTGGTAAAGTGGGCGGTGGTAAAGTGGCGGTGTAAAGTGGGTGGGTAAAGTGGCGGTGGTAAAGTGCGGTGTGTTTAAAGTGGCGTGGTGAGTGGCGGTGGTAATGTGAAAGTGCGGTGGTAAAGTGAAAGTGGGGTGTAAAGTGAAAGTGGCGGTGGTAAAGTGAAAGTGGGGTGGTAGTGGACAGTGGTGGTGGTAAGTGAAAGTGGCGGTGGTGAGTGCGGTGGGTAAAGTGGCGGTTGTAGGTGGCGGTGGTAAGTGGCGGGTGGTAAGTGGCGTGGTAAAGTGGGGTGGTAAAGTGGGGTGGTAAAGTGGCGGTGGTAAAGTGGCGGTGGTAAAGTGGCGGTGGTAAAGTGGCGGTGGTAAAGTGAAAGTGGCGGTGGTGAAGTGGCGGTGGTGAAGTGGCGGCTGCAGACGCCCAATGGAATGAGGCAGCGGGAGACGACTGGCAACAGGTTCGCCCTCTTGTCCTAAATCGGAAGGCGTAGATTTCGTCTGGTGCCGGTCTCGAGTTTATTCGCCTTATTTTTTTACCGCTTCGCTCTCGCAGGTTGATTTCGTTTTCGTTCCGTTCCGCTGCCTCTTCGGGAGCTGGTGCGAGCTTGGGGAAGGAACGTGCATTCAATTAGGGATCTCCGCTCTTGTGTTCTAAACTCGTACGCAGAATTCTAAACACGTAATCGTGACAATTTACAGTTTATTGAATATTTAATCATAACTGATTTATTGTTTGTGTTGTTTGATTTCTAATATTTGTTGTATGTAACTTCAAAAAATTACTTCACTGGTACTCATCAACAGAATACACTAATAGAAGACAAATAAGTTTTCATGTCGAATTTATTAAATCTTCATATGTTTGATAAATCAACTCAAAAATTCAACAATTTCTTATTATAATATAAATTTTAGCACAAATTTTTCTGTAAAATATAAACATTGCAAACAATATTTACACCTCAAATCGATTTCCAGAATAACGTCACATTTTGTCTTATTCGCAATACAATAATTGGCACAAAGCCGTATTTTTAACTTTCATCCTATGCACTTCGGAATAGATTAAATTTTAACTTTCACTCTTTTTTTATGAAGTCAAGAATGAAACACAAATTTCATTCTTTTCATGTACCTTTCGTTTTTCTCAACCATATTTTCAAAAGCCTATGTGATTTCAAGAATCCACAAATAGTTAAATAGTTTTATTTACTGGACAAGTGGTTCAGAATTATGTAAACAGCAGTTATATAATCCATAATGTCACTGATTATCTTTCTCTAGTTTTTAACTTTTAATCTTAATCCCCTTTAACACATTAGCAAAATGTCGTTTTGAATTTGTTCAGCTTTTCCCATATATTTTTCTAAATGCACCTCCGATTCAGTGCTTTGGAGACTCCAAGAACTCGCGAATACTTATTCGTAGTCGGAGCGTATACTCAATTAGGAGCCGCTGCTCTGTGTGGAGAGGCAGGAAATTTCCAATTCCGAAGGCGGTCGGCGCGAACAAATGACCTCTGAAGTCGGAAGGCAGACGGCAGCGACGTGGCAAAGATTAACGCAGTCGATAAGTTTCTCTACCACAAAGGGGCTCTTGAAGCCGTACCTCGTAAACGTCACAGCAGCCGCGGACCAGGCGCTGACGAGGGGCGAATTCGGGGAAAGGAACCGCGGTGGGAGCCTCACGGACCGGGTACACAATCCCTGTTGCAGTGTCACGTCCAAGAGCCACTGCACTCTCCTTGGCTTAAATACAACGCTATCGTCAAATACCTCTAAATTATTCGACGTGTCTGTGTTTGATGCTAATATTTATTACATCTTAGAAGTTGTAATGTCCAAAATCGTGAAAATCAGATGTCGTGGGTGAATGTACTCGCAAAATCTACTTGCGAGTAGAAATAGCTATTTTCCGATCCATTTTTACACGTTTTTTGCAAACTTTGACCTGAAAAGAAAGCACTAAAATCTTTGCAGTATCAAAAGGGCTATATCCAGATTTGGCTGGATGCTGGAAAGCTGTTCAATGCTACAAAACACTATTTGTGTCGACATTTTGCTGACATTGATTCAGAAAACAATATGTGTAAAAGCAAATTTTAGAGCTTTTTGTGGTATTTTAGACTTTTGAACAATTTTTACACGACAAACGCAGAAATTTGAACAGGGCAATACAAATATTAAAACAAGAATATACATGAACATTTGAAGAGGGATGTAAATGAAGTGAATTAATGAATAAATAATGAAATGATTTATTAACAATAAATAAATAATGAATTAATGAATAATTAAAATAACAAAATGAGGGGAATATAAAATAAAAATATTTTAAGGCTCATAAAGAAGTAATAAATGCCCATCAAGCTTTAATAATGATGTATAGTGTCTTATAGGAAAATAATAATTGCGTCGTGTTACATCACTAATTGTAATCGATACATCGTTGTTTTTTATCCGCCATTTAGTAGTACAATGTCCCAAGCATCAACAGGTATTTGCACATAAGCACGTGCTCTTGTTAACTTATTTATACACATGTAAGTTTATAAATTATGTACACCCATTTTAGGGGCAGACCAGCGTTAAAGGAAATGACTTACCATATTCATCTCGCTTTACAAGCAAGTACATGCACAACGCACGAATGAAACTCATTCTGTACTACGTTTTTCCGAACCAGGTTCCCATGTTACAGGATCGTGGCCTGAAAGCAGAATCGCCTTTTGGTTTCAGAAAACATTTTAAGACATCAAGGTGGCTCAAATGGGAGGGCAAACACCATTCAGTAGATACGACTAGTAAGAGATGTTGGACATTGATAGAAAAGGATGTCAGCACATTTTTTTAATGATAACTATTCAAAAACGTAGTACGTTTTTCAGCAAGATACATTTTAAAAAGGAGAGGGGTCAGTTTAATGTTTCCAGAAAACTTCCAACAAGAGGGAAATGCCCGCTAGTTTCGTAGGTCGTGACAGGCAGGGGGGCCGCCAGCGAGTTTGGCTCCGCCGGGCCGAAGAATCCGCCTTCAGCCGGCCACACCTTTTCGCGCCATGAATTGCTAAGCAGCTTGACTAAATAGTGTAGCGGCCGCATTTGGAATTTCTCCCGCGGCCGTTGTTAGCGCCTCAGTCGAGGCGCTGCCCGCAGACGTCCCAAGAGACAGAGATTGGGCGCGCCAAATCACAGCTGGGAGTGGGTTCGTGACGGAAGGCGAAATGAGATTCGACTCGACGCTTTTCGATCGGGAAGGGAAAACATGGTAGCGATGGGTTTAGTACATATTCGAAGCATTCTTCAGGCTGTATCTTGTCAAGTGTTCACATTTTAAATCTTGAAGGTTTAGTAACAAATTTCTACTTCATACTGTGATGTTTCTGACATAAAATTTGCGATACCTGCGTCACAAATGCTTAGCAAGTCTGTTTTCACATTACATACATTCGTAAGTATTGCGAATGATCTTCCTAACTGATAGTATTTAATTAATAACTATAAGTATTAGGCATTCCTTTCTTTGAAGTATTCCATTGTCAAGTAAAAGAAAAACTATAACTTGAAGTGTGGTTTCGAGGCGTTTGATGAAAATTCGAAAAAAAGTGGTTGAGGGAATTATGACTTCATAGAGGTATCTGATTATAGAAAAAAAATTTAGTAATAGACTTGACATTAACATTCTGAATGCATTATAATTATTTTTTGTGAGGAAACAAACAGATGTACCCCACTTACGAAAACAAAAGTGTTGAAATATTAGCGCAACTTCGATTACAAAATATTCAGTGCGCATTAGGTATCTGAGTGAACTACATATAAAGCAATTAAAATATTAACGTAATTTAATAGTAAACATTTATAATTACAAGAAAGGAGAAATTAGGGTTATTTGAGGCTAGTTTGATTGCCCTTTACTGAAAAAATGTCTTGATACTTGAAAAAAAGTAAGGCATCTGCCCAATAACATATTAAATGTCTTTATAATTATATATTTTAATATTTTACGGAACCTTCTAAACTGGATTTTACAATTTGTAAGCCTTTGCATCCACAATCTTGCTGCAATTCTCCGAATGTATCTCCATATACATACAATCGAAACCACACTGGTCACAGGACGACGAACATTCACTTGTTTGAATGCTCGCCTGTAAGTATAGTGATTTTATTCTAGTCAGAATAAAAAATAAACAGGTATAAGAGTACCCCCAGTGTTATTTGAAACAGCCTCCAGCACAAATATACACATGGTCGATTTTAGTCTATAATCTATCATCTCCTTGTCACCTGCCATTCTCTCTCGATATAGAACTTATTACATTTGAGGTCTTGAGATGTGGCGCCACAATCTACAATGTGACATGACACGTGCGAGATTCATCCGATAGTGCATTTGCCAAGAACTACTATGTAACTCTGGAACTAGGTTTAAACGGACGATATAATATGGTTTTCTCTATTGATTGACGTGATTAATTTCATGTTTCTGAGTGCGTCAACGGCTGAGATCATTAATTCCATAAATGTAGTGCATGTCATCTCTTGAGATGGCGGTGCCCCCTTTTATAGAGAGCTGGAGTTTGCCTTCACGTCAGCTGC